GGTTGTTTGCTCCGACAGCATCCTACCTGCATTGCCAACTCGAGCGGATGGATGGGAGCTCTTATTACTGGCTTCATATCAGAGGCAGGTAGAGAGGAATGATGTGCCACAGGGCGAGAAGCAGCTGCTTTCGACACAGACTCACCACGGGGGTAAGAATTATGGTGTTTTTACTGTACATTATGTTTTATATCCTGCTGTTATAATGATTAAAATTTCATACAGAACGTGAAAAACTAGATAAATAAAAGAAATCAATAGCAGATAGTCAAAATCATAGTGTAAATAAAAAAAATTTCCCCAGATTTGGTGTGGATCGTGGAAGTAGGTGGGGGTTCAGTGTTGGGATCACAGTCAAGCCATGAGCTGCGTGAGTTATTTTTCAATTTGCCTTTTCGGGTAAATAATTTTTTTCATACTATTACATGCAATTTACGTCCCCAGAAATGTTGGGAAGGATAGCGCCACAGTGTTGGTACGCATCTCAGTCCCCCAGGCTGTGAGCTGCATTATTGTGACACTTAAGTATTCCTTGTACCAAAGACTTTTCCAGCATGCACACCTTCATAACCTACTGTGTATTTACATACTATATAGCAGTTTAGGTCACAACTTACTGAAATGCAATTTTGGATTCATCATGCATGTACAGAGCCTATAACTGTAATAAATTTCTGAACAATTGGAGAAGGAAAAATATTGAGACCGTGTGATCTTCTGGCATGAAAGCTCAATGTTTTAACCTCTCTTCAAAGAATCTTTACTCAAACCGATTGCTAGCAACACACATTATATCATTAGATATTTCAAAATCACATTTCTACATATTTAATAAATACTCGCCTCATAAGTACTCTGGCAATCAGGAGTTTGAAGAGCAGGGATGACACCCACACTGTATGCATTCCTTTCTGAGTCATAAGCAAGTGGGTAATTCTTGAAATCCTTTTCATATATCATCTTCATTTTTTCAAATATCTCCCTTAAAAAAATACAAAAGAATGAATAATATTTAAGGTGATGTTCAGATGACAAACAAATAATTTATAGAGGGTAATATGCAGTACAGTACAGTACAGTACAGTAAACCCTTGCCATTAGGGAGAAATAGGTTACAAGAAAGGGCACGAATAGGCAAAACCGCTAATAGCAACTTATACTACTTAAGTGCACTACTGTATACAGTAAGTCCTCGCTTAATGTCGGGATTACGTTCCTGAAAACACGACGTTATACAAAACAATGTTAAGCTTATCAATTTTCCACATAAGAAATAGATAAAATGCGGGAGTTACATTCCTGAGCCTCCCTTTGCCCCATGAAATACATTACATATACAGAAAATCACTGCCATTTCTATAGAAAATAGTGCATGCATATACAGCTACTAAGTTTGTATTGCTTTATCCTCTTCACCACTGATCGGCTCATTAGCCGCTTAAGCGATGGGTCACGTTTCTGTTATGCACTGTTGGCAAGTACTGGGCATGCACCGGCTCCTGAATGTACTTGAACCTGCTCCAGTGTTGGTTAAGTCTGGTCTTAAAAGAGCTCACACTCGGTGCCGTCACAACACTTTCTGACAGATTGTTCCAAGAGTTCACAATTCTCACTCCGAAAAAGTTTGCCCTCACAGTTTTCTGGACCTGCGGCTACTTCAGCCTCGAGCTGTGACCCCTTGTGGGGCGAGCATCCGCCAGCTCCAGGTAAGGACACTCGACTTAGTATTACATGAATGGTCACAAGTTGTTGCCCTGGGCCTAGACCTTCCACACACTCAAACCTTTCTAGTTTTCTTTTTTATCTTCTCAGTTATTCTCTGATCATATTTCCTCATTTTCATTGAATCGTTTACATAAGGAGTTGTCAGACTTATAATTGAATAAGTTTCCCTCACCCTCTTCCTTCTCCCATTCTCTCGTTTTTTTCATCCCTTCCTCCTTTTCTTTCTCAAGTTGATTCCCCGCATCTAGATCAAAGAAAGCGTTGCAATAATCATTTTCATCTGTCACGCCCCGTTTAACGTTGTCCTTATGCTGCACGCCTCCTTCCGTAACCCCTGGTGGCAGCTGGAGTTGGGGCTTCCCTTGGGATGTGGAAAGAGGCGGTGGCACACAGGGAGGAGGCAAAGAAGGACGTGAAGGCGGATTACACGACCTTGGAAGTCCTCCACTCGTGTTACCCATATGGATGGAGCACGAGGAAGAACCTGCTGATGAGTGGTATTTCACGGACGTCTCGTTGGTGTTCTGCTGGAGAGAGAAGCGGTTTTTTGCTCCAGCCTGTTGTCGCTTCTTGAGGCAGAAGCCGAGACATACAACGAGGAGACTCATCAGCAGCACCGACACAATAATCGCAACCCACAAGAAGTTGAAGTCTTCCTCATCATCACGTGTTGAGGGACTCTCTGTTGGTACTCACCGATGGGCGGAGGTGGTAGAGCAAGTTTGCGGTGGGCGCAGATGGTGGGAGGGGAGGAGTATGTTGGGAGAGGAGGAGG